AGACGATAAGAAGCTGCTACAGGTTTTTAAATGAATTTTAATGTTTCTCCTCGGGTATCTTGAACTTGATCTTGAAGAAAGGCACGCTATTTATTATTAACATAACGCAGACAGCTACGCTGTTGTGACAGAACATCTTGTATCTAATGAGGTGGATTTAAGTGCATGTTAATTATACTCGTAAATAAAGAATATCGTATCTTTGGCAAATTAGTTTTTAATGTTTATTTACTAATTTTCAAAACTAGTATTGAATAAATAGAATGTACCTACCTACAGCACCTTGTATGTATTTTGATTACACTAATATTCATTTAACAACCTTTTTCGGGCGTAGTTTTAGTGACTAAAGTGTCACATTTACAGCTTAGACATTAGGATCATTTTTACTACCGCTGAATTAAAAATTAAAATTTACTCTTTAACGAAAGTAATTTTATTCATTGTAATCATTTATAGTGAAATTGGAATAGCCTGTAAGGGATATCCCTTGTCCTGTTTGTTCTGAAACATTTACTTCGTCTATGTAGGTTGAAGTGTTTTCACTAGTGAATTCTCCAAAGTTAGTGGAGTCAAGATAGATTTTGACTTCGCCAAATTACTGGAAAAGAGAACTTTTTATTTTTCGCTTTGTAAAGTTGTCAGAAACAACATATTACAAAGTTACCAACTGTAGAGTGTACGCTAAATTATTTATTTAACAAATTAACAAAGAAGAGCAAAAACTCGATGAGATTTAAAAATTAATTATTTTGTAATACATTTGTTTTTCAAAAAATTAAACATATTTTCAATGAAACCTCTTGAATTTTCATTTTCCGACTTCATATTCTTGTTCAGCGACATCCAAAACCCCTATATTGTCAATTTGAAAGAATTCGACTTAAAATTCATTGAATTATTTTAAATGTTCTTAAAAAAACTATTTATTAATGTTTAAACAATTAAAAACCAATTAGCGTACAAAAATAAGTTTATGACTTTTTTCTAATACTTATCCCCAAGTAATTTCAAAAGGTCCTAGGAAAATCCATGCTTCCCATAATTATTTCGAAATAATGCGTAATTTGAAGCTATCTAAACTCCACTAAGTGGTTGAATTATTTAAAAAATCGCTTCCAGCACTTGATATACTTGAAGTAGAGAAATTTTTTTTGCTAACAACCGATTTAATTGTTATGGACTGCTCAATATACCCTTCAGCTACCGTGGAAGATTTCCATCCACCATGAATTTAAATAAATACGTGAGCATCCTTCAATTTGCGCAAAACAGAAACTTGTTTTGGCATTTTCACAAATGTATGAATTCCGATTATATGAAGTTCTATCATCTTGTAACAGTTCCAAGCTTGCTAACAAAGTCGTTAAACCTTTATTTTATGAAGACATTTCCATTTTAAATGTATTTATATAAATCAGCAGCTACTTACTTGTTTAAAATCACCAACGCACAAATAAATATATTATAAGTATCTGAGTCATATAAATATGAATTATTTATATGCTTAACGAAATTTTGCATAATCTATCTATTTGCATTCGACACAGCTTCATCATATTATACTTGGCTATTGTTACAATTATACAATTGTATTCAAGAATACTTATAATTTTTTATACGTTAAAATGTCGATTTCCAAAGATTCTTCTAAGAACATGCATGTCATTTTTCTTTATTGTCCATGAGAACAATCGGTGTTAATTCGAATACCATATTGCGGTTAGCATCTTTAAAGCAACTATAAAATAATCAGAAATAGATATAGCATTAAAAGGAATTAACGAAAACAATAAGAAATAATCTTCTACCAGATGTTTCTTTCTATTGGGTGCCAAATATTTTCGTTTCGGTTTCCTGCGACCAATTTTATATCCTTATGTATTCACCTGATGAATTTGTGATGGCTATAGCGATAGCGAATCAATTAGGTCAACAGCGACTTTATAATTAGACAGTGTCCATGATCAGTGCATTTTCCTCGTCTTTGTCAAGGTAACGACACCCAAATGGGTATGGTGCCAAAACCGTATTCATACTTTCTATCTATACTCATCAGTACATCACCATCAGGGAAGGGCTTGTTCAAGGTCAAATGTTGATGGAAAGGAACGTGGCAAATAACCTTGACAAAATACCTGTTGAATTTTAAAAAACTAAAAAATTTGTTTTACTTTTTGTTATTGGAATACCATCAAAACAAGCGCAAGTGGAATGCCAATTTTATATTACATTACTAACACGTTTTTGGACAAAATGGGATTTCAAGGTATCTCAATGTAATATTTCCTTTGTACCTAAATGAGTTAGAATGAAAGTAAAAAGTGCACTAAATTAAATTTTGGGGCTGATTTCGACTAGCGTTGTTAATTTTTAGTAAATGTCACGGTATGAAACCTGTCTCTATGATATAGAGCAAGTAAACTTACATTTTTGAAATGGTGTTGATGATATTGGTGCATTGGCTATGATCTAGAAAAATGGAATTTTTTCTATATCCCAATGATACATAACTTATGGGTTACTTCAATAAAGTAAAAAAATACAAATACATTTTGAATTTTTCATTGAGTTGGCTATGATGGAAATTGGAGATTTAAAAAAAAACTCTCAGTTCATTTCCTATAGAAGTAAAAATATAAACATTTTTTGAATAACATTTTTGCTCCTCTATTCGAATACTTTTTGTCTTTCATCAACTATAATCAGTTTATTTTTTATAAATAAAGACGAGTTACTATTTTCACGCCATTGTATTCATTATTTACTTTAGAATGCAATAAAAAACATGTGTCTGTGTTTAGTAACGTTTCAGATCGAGAGACTCATAATCAGTGTCGTTTTTCTTCAAAGATATATCGATATTTCGTAATGTTATATTCAAAACCTTTCATAATTTCTAAAATATAAACAAAAATAATGAAATCTTAAAACATAACTTACATTAGAATAAAACTTACAAGAGGTATAAGAACTATTTAACATTTTTTCCAAATTATTTAGTTTTTATTCTAATATAAATTTTAGTTTCATTGAGATTTGTTTATTTTTTAATAAATTAAGAGATTTTCAGAAATGTAATAATAACAATTTTTTTATAAAAAATAGCAGCATCCAAAGTATTTTATTCGACTATATGGATTAGGGTGGCCCAAAAAAACGAATATATTTATTTTCGTGTCTCTTGTGAAAATATGTTAGTTTATGATGTTTTAAGAGCCCCCTCAAAAAATCAACTGAAAAAAAAAATTTTTAGAGGTCGCTCAAGATTTTTTAAAATTTCCAAAATCGTCAAAAATTGTTTTTTTTCTCGCTATTTTATCATTTGCTAGGTTGAAAAAAATCTCGCTTCTGAAAATTTCAAATCGATATTTTAATTTCTAAAGGTCACTCATAATTATTTTAACTTCAAAATTAGTGTACCTAAAATGTTTTCGAGCGACCTCTAAAAATAAATATCAACGAACTAATAATTTGTTTATTGAATTTGATGAACAAAAGAATAGAAATATGTAAATCACGAGACACTTAAAAAATTTCTCGAGGCAAAATTTACTACCGCACTGAGTATCAAATATTTATAATTTTTTAATTTTTTTAAAATNTATGTATGTTTGAGAATGTTCGTCTATCTGGTGTGACTCTATTCGGGAAACGCTCTTGATATAATCGTTTAGCCTCTGGCGCTCTGCCATCAGCCAAGCCATACATGTAATGAATGTCTGCCAACTCTTGATTAGTAAACTCAACCATTATCAAATAACACTGTACAGGTATTTTAAGTATCAAAATTGAGTTGAATGAACTGAACTGTCAAAATTAATAAATCACAACAGTAATCAACAACCACAGCCTACTAGGTAATCTTTATATCATGCTTTCTGTTTGGCTCAATGTGGGTTAGTATGTTGTTCTTTATTTTTTTACTAAAAAACAGTGCAAGATAAGAAAAAAACTCAAGAGATCTTTTTTATTACAAAATAAAGCACCATTTATACAATAATTTTTGTTTTTCAAAAATGCAGTGGCGTATCATTTTTTTCATTCAAAATAATGAGGTTGAAGTTAATTGGGACGCCACTGGTTAAAAATGAAAATTCGTTTATTATGCAAAAGACGTGTCTCTGCACCTAGTTTACACATACTAAGTTTTATAAAACTATCTAATTTAGTTTCGGAGTTATTAAAAAAAAAAAACAATTTTACAAACAGATATTCATCACCCTGTATATCAAAAATAAAGCGAAAACGGACCTATGTTTCTATGAACTTTTTGTCTTAAAATCACGCACAGATTAACACCCTTCAATATTGACATCCAGTTATGAAACACCCTGTATATTCCGAATTAGGCAATTTTATTCCAATTTAACTATTTCTTTTAACTCTGATGAAAATGAATGTTTAATACTTGCTATTTTCGCTTTATTATAAACTTTTACAATAACCTCATTCAAACTTATTTTTTTTTAACAAACTAGTCAAAAAATTTTCTTTGATATCCGATAACAAATGCAAATGATATTTATCCTCATAGACAAGATTCTTAACCGATGATACGCGGAACACAACTACCCCGTTGACTACATGCTCCAACTAGCATTGAATTACACCAACAATAACAAGTAAACAGCTAGTACTAAATATTACCTTTTCGTTTTCACATTTTACTTGAAACTGTTCAGGTAACCTCCTTGCAAATGGGGTTAATAAATACTAATATTGTTAAATCCATAGATCTAATAATATACTATTAAATCTATGGTTAAATCACTTCGAACGCATATCAAATCAACTCGAAAACAAACGATGTCATCAAATATCTGTTGTGACAGTTGAATTTACTTTGAAAATCAAACTGGGGAGAGTGTCAACAGTTTTTTAATATTTGCTGCAGCAACTGAGATGTGCGTCTAAAAATTCCGCATGTCCCATTATTTTATTATCTTTCTTGTTTTATTATTTTATTTAGTTTAAATATTGTTTATTCTCATTTACAGATATGTGCAGTACTTACCTTCTACGTATCGTTAACCGATGAAAAAGTAGTTAGAGTAAAACGAAGCCAGCATGTTCCTCCTTTAGAAGCGCCTACTTTTAGGAGGGATTCGGTGGAACACCCACCCATTTTTGATCGTTATACCGATAGGAGTTCGTACTATACCGTCCTAGAGGAATACGGATCCAGAAGTCTACCACTGAGGGCTGCTGTGGAAAGCATTCCAAATGTGTGAGTAGGGAATAGCTAAATTTTAATTGCGACATTTCTTACTATTGTTGCGAGGGTAGAATGAAGAATAAAATATGTAGTCTTACTTCTTAGTACTGGTCTTCCATTAAGAGGTTTCATTTTAAATGTTTAAGAAAGCAAGTACGTAATACTGATATTTTTTGTCCAACACAAAGTACATACCATATGGAAGACTTTCTTGGATTACCGCATCTAAAACTAAATCAATGCATATTTTTTTTGTTATCAGGCTACAGACGTCGAAGCGCCTCCCACTAAGAGACGCCGTGGAAAAAAGACCTCCGCCAGATGAACCCTTCGACTCGGTAGAAGACCTAGGCGAAGCAAACTACAACTTCCTCCCGTACCAGAAGGTACAACCATCTGGCAAACTAGATTTCTCTTCCACCAGCGAAAAAACTCCACATCAGGATACCCCCAAAATCGAGACCAGTTTTAATCCTTACAGCTCCCTACCTCAATACCAGCACGTACCTCCTCAATATGTGCCAAATCAGTACCTCTACACACCCCACAACTTCGTGTATTCTGGTCCACAGCCACACTTCTACCAGAGTCAGACGTTGTATTCGCCGCTGCAATTCTTCAGGAATGTCATAGGCGACTATAGGAGCGCTACCCCGTACAGAATAGACAACAGTTTCCAGCAGCTGCTGGTGAGTCCCGCTGTGCCAAGAGGGAGGAGTCTAGGGGCCGAGAATCCGTTACTTAGGAGAGGAGGTGAAAAACTAGGTACTTGCTGATTAAATTATTGAAAGTTCTTAGTAAATCCTGCTACATCCTTTAAATCTCAGTACAGCCTACTAAATCCTTCTAAAACCCAGAAATTCTACAATTAATTCTCCGTAAATCCAACAAAAAATCATCTAACCCCAAAAAAAATCATTTGTGAACATGAACTGCCACTTTCTTTATAATTCCATTGGTTTCCATTAACAAAAAATGTATGTGTTCGAAAACTAAACGAATAATCCCACTTCAGAAAGAAACTATGGTGCCATGAACAAAAAAATCGTCTGCTACGTGGAAGGAAAAGCGACGTACAGGAAGGAACCCCTTAACTTTAGCCCTGAAGAGATGGATCCCTTCGCGTGCACTCACGTTATCTACGCTTATGCTTCCGTAGATCCGCACACTTTCGAAATGATGTCAAACGACGAGGAGTTCGATATAGTTCAAGGTAAATTCCTTTTAGAACTTTAACTGGTAGATAGTCTAAGCTGTAAACATTTTCAGGTGGATACCGCGCCATCACCGGCTTGAAACGCCTCAACCCCAACCTGAAGGTCCTGATATCCCTTGGGGGAGGCAGAGAGGACGGCTCCCACCGCTTCAGCAGCCTCATCTCCAGCGCTCGCAACAGACGCGACTTCATCCGCTCCGCCATCTCCTTCATCAAGCAATACGACTTCGATGGTATGGACATCCACTGGCAATACCCAGGGGCCGAGGAACTGGGCGGCCACGTCACCGACAAGGAGTTCCTGACCCTGTTCTTGGAGGAACTCTCGGAAATCTTCAAGGAACGCGGGTGGTTGCTCGTGGTATCCGCGCCTGCCTCCAGGTTTAGGATCGAAGACGGTTTCAACCCGTCTTCCTTGGGGAACGCCGTGGATTTCGTGAACGTGCAGGCGTATGACTTCCACAGGGATCGGGAACCGGTGGCGGATCACCATTCCAACTTGCACGCCAGGCATCAGGATAACGGGCTCAATTTATTTTTGAGTGTGGTAAGTAAGGAACTATGTTTTTCCGGATTTTTGACTGATAATATGATATTTTACTAAATTCAAAATCGTTTACGAATATTAAGTATATTAAAAGTACAATTATTCAACTTGAAGATAACAACAAGAAATTTATTCGATTCTACTTGTTCTTCCTGAAAAGTATTATGATTCTCTATCTGCATTCCTGAATTCAAAATTACATGCATTTATTATGCATTAGTCTGACGAATGTTTTGACAAAAAGTACATCAACAGTGTCACGTCGCTTGTCATGCACGTCGCACATCACAAGTCACACACGTCACATGTCACAGATCCCACACGTCACACATCACACGTTACACATCACACGTCAAACGCGTCACACGCTCGTCTTGTTCTACTTACCACTAAAATAAGATCCTCTCCAAATTTGTAATTACCGTATACATATCTCTACAACTCATGTTTTCTTCCCAAAGGACTACGCTGTAAAATTCTGGCTGAAGAAGGGACTTCCGCGGTCGAAACTGGTCCTGGGCATTCCATTTTTCGGACGGTCCTTCACCCTCCAGTACTCCAACGATACCGGCATTGGATCGCCCATCATAGGTCCCGGAAAAGAGGGATTCTACACGCAGAACCCCGGATTCTTGTCCTACTTCGAGATTTGCGAAATGGAGCTCAACGAGGGATGGTACCGGCACGAAGACGGCGTGGGGTCCCCCTATCTCGTGAACGGCAACCAGTGGGTGGGTTTCGACGATGAACGGAGCATAAGGAAAAAGGTGAGATAGTCATATTGTAATACAGTTATTTAGAGAGGGTGATTTCATTTTACAGGAATTGATCTAATTCAAAACTTGTAGATCATACAAAAATGTACAATTCTTGTAAAGGTCACTTTTTACGATAACCTCAAAATTTCCGAGATAAATGCGAAGAACAGGTTTTTTCTGATTTTTTTTATTTCTCATTTCTGGAAAAATAACTTAATTTTGAAGAAACTTGTTGAAAGTATACCTTTCTGTGTCTTAAATAAACACAAATTTTTTTAGATAAAAAAATCAAGAAATTATATTCATTTTTTCCGGTCTGAAACACTTTTTTTTTCAAAGAAAAATTCTACTTAGGAAAATCACCGTACAGAGTTCTGCCAGTGGTCATTTTTTTCGATTTGACATATACTTTATGGTGAAATAAAAAAAATCTGTTCAAAAACATACTGAAAAATGCAAAAAAAAATGTCGCACAATTGTTGTGTTGAAATATACTCAAGTTACGTAAACAAAAACATTCCCATCCTTAGATACTAATGCCTACTTGTAATGTGTTTACCTCTCTAGCCCAACGACCCCTAGGTCATAAATTAAAATGCTTATAAACATACGGAGATATATTATAGCACTGGGCTTGGGAAAGACTTTTAGTTTCTAATCTGATTTGATACCGAATAGATGTGCTCTCTGAATAAGTGAATAAACAATATCTTTTAATTATTAAAGTGTTTTAGTTCTATCCATAATTCCAACAATGAGTTTTTCAGTAATTGTTGATGATTTGTTTAAATTTAAAAAAAAATTCAAAAACTGATTACACCATTCAATTCTACGGAAAAAAATACAAAAAAACTGTGTCTCATTGTTTGACCCAAAACTTTATTTGTGTACAGTAGGTATTGCTATAAACATCTAAGTCGAATTACAAATGTACAAATGATAAATTATCTCTGGATAATTTGAGATTTTAGCAATACTGTTATGCCATCATCCAATAGATATTTTGGAAGCGTTCAGAGCCGTATCAGGAAAAGTTTTAAATGATAGCTAAAAGAAGCTAAAAACTTTTTTTACAATATTAATTCAGAATTAAAAATTACATTAGATTTTGTGATGGCCCCTCGAAGACGGAACGTTGGATTGCAAAAATCTTAACGCCATTGTATAGAGCGAAAAAACTTGCAATGTAAATATGCAATTTATTTTAAAACTCGTTTTCAAATAAAGCCAGAAAAAAATTAAACAATTTTCCTAAATTTCTAACTTCCCTGAATTTTAAAACTTTCTAAGCGGCATATTGTTAGGTAGGTATAAAAAAAAACAACTTTTTTCTAATCTGAGCCACCCCTTATCTCTTACCGTTTCCTAGATCCTAATGCTTCCCATCCTTATCTTGGACACACTGTATACCTATGAATTCATGAAAATTAAAAAAAAAATAAGTACATAATCGATCCTACGGAAAAAAAATTATTTATTTTATTTATTCACTATTCGACTTATGTTTATAGCAATACTGTACAAAAATAAAGTTTTGGGTCAAACAATGCGACAGTTTTTTTTTAAATTTTCCGTACAATTGAATGGTATAATCAGTTTTAGATTTTTTTAAATTTAAACAAATTATCAACAATTACTGAAAAATTCATTGCTGCAAATCATTTTTTACTTTTTTGCATTTTTGAGTATATTTTTGAACTGTGATTACAAATTTTTTTATTTCACCAAAAAGTATA